AAAGGTAAATCACATTTATGTGATTATAATTTTTTTTTAATTATTTTCTAATATATTATGGATTGCTCTCTAAATATACATACAGTGTCTCGCAAAAAGCCTGCTCCATATGGAACACTTTTTATTGTCAATTTTTTAAGAAAATATTATTCTTGATAATCCTGAAATACACTCGTAAGGGGGTGAATTAGGGAGAGTATTATCATAAAACTTGGTGTTCAATTTTAAACCTGAAACTTTCTTTATTTTAAATATAAATTTGGATGCGCAGTGAACTAGGTACCCACATTTTTACATATAAAATTAATGTAATATAATGTATATAAGCCCATATAGTACTTTAATAAAATTAATCTAGTTTATTATATGCTTTTTTTACGTAGATTAAAAAAAGTTTAAAAATATGATGCTTTCTTGGTGCGTCGTATGATTTCACTTTATATATGTTTAGGTACAGATAATTATTGATACTGACAGTTTATTTTTAAATCATTAAAATAATATTTTGTTAATCCAAAAAAAGGCGAACAAAAAAATCCTTGCCACATATATACAGTGTAACAATAAAAATTAAATATATAAATATAACATGTTATGTATTAAGGGACTAAAATATGTTTGTCATAAGGGAATAAAAACGACATTTTAGTCCCTAAAATAAAGGAATGAATTACATGTTTTAGTTCCTTTGATACAAAAAATATTTATTTATGCAACAAGTGTGTAAAGTTACCCTTTTTTGACGAATGTGTATGTTGTCGCACTCACCTACGGCTTGTGCGTCAATCACATGAGTCAAGAAAGGGAATTTACACACGAGTTGCATACAATATTTTTTCTACTACCGTACACATTATCTACTAATATTAGAAATATAAAAGTTAATTTTTTCACTAGTGCGTAAAGTACATAATGATTTGGCTTTAGAAATTAATCTTCAACTTATACTTTTGTCGTATTCTGTGATGATATACTAATAAAAGTTTAGAGATTGACAGTTCTTCTAATCCACACAGCCACGGACAATTTACTTTTACCAAAATCGACATCCACGGTTTGTTTACTTTTAAATAAATCGATGACATTTAGAGAAAATTATAATTAAAATAAAAAACCGTTGATAATTTGTTGGGGACTAAATAAATTCTTAAATGAGTAAAATCAAACAGTAGATTCTCACATACTTTTATTAAAAAATAAAAATTAAAGTCTGCATGACAATTGTTTCGAAGTACAACTTCTTCTTCGAATGTGACTTATTTACATTTCGGTGCCTAATATACAGTGTGTCTACTTAAGTTGGAAACATATGGAAAAAAATTATTATTGATTTTAGGAAAAATAGTTATTCTTCATAAAAAGTTCTGCATTATCTAAAACCTTGAATAAAGTCATCAAATATCAAATTGTTTTAGTGGTATACGAGGTTTGTCAAAAAATATGAATTTTGCTCAAGAGTAAAGTACGTTTATTTTTGACAAAATCGAAAATTTTCATTGTATATATACTAAGTAAACTAATATAAGTGGGATAAGAGCTTTATTAACGTACGTATGCGAAATTTGCACAACGAGTGCGTAGCATGAGTTGGGAAATCGCAGAAGTACCTTAATAAACCGTTATCACACGTATACTGTACAAATTTTTATCTACGCCTCTAAATGTAAAAATAAACGCTAATTATAATTTTTGTCTAAGACTTTAGGGTTATTGTTTTCCACCACTACCTACATGTCGATTGGCGACACATCGAAATGTTGGGTAGCGGTTCTAACAATTGAATAAAAACGTTTTTTTTCTTAGCTACGATAATATTGTCATAAACACTGAGTCAAAAATAATTCATTTTTAACGTATTTTTGCATTTTCGAGTAATAAAATGAGTGATTCGGAAAGTTTGTCATCTGATATTGAAGAACAAGCTTAAATAGTTATTTATACAACAAGTGCAAAAAGTAAGTGTTTATTGCACGCGACGTGAAATTGTCCAACGAGGCCGTCAGGCCGAGTTTGACAACACGTCGAGTGCAATAAACACTTTTTGCACAAGTTGCATACAATATTTTTTCTAGGTTCATGCAAAAACCAAAAAATGTTTTATAGAACTGCAGTTGTATTATCCAAATCATAGTAGCCGTGATCGTGTACCTTTGTTTGAGGCATTTATTTACGTTTGTGTTCATAATTTGTAATGACATTTTTAATAAAATATATTTTTTTATTAATTTATTTATTAAATAATTGAAATTAATATAAAATATGCAATTGTTTTTAAAACGTAACACAGAAAATGAAAAAAGACTAAATATTTGGCGTTGATTTGAATATTTATGTTTGTCATGATCATAAAACGCTGTAGTAAAATGACAGATGAGTGCAATAAAATTTTTATTTCACTAGTACAATAAAGAACCAGTTTTTTCACTAAATATAGTTCAATAAAGTTTTGTTTTTTGTTTAAACGTAGAAAAAAGCTATTATTACTTGTTACTTTAAATTGTGACAGTAATTTGCTATTAAATTTAAATAGATTTTGACATTTTGACTTTTTATTTGATTGATTGAAAAGCAGTGAGACGGGCGTAGATAAAGAGATTTATTAAAGGTGAGTTATTAATTCTTAATTGAGCATTTAAGAGGTTATCTGAATTTTCAGCCAAAATATGATTTGAAAAAGTAGAATGATTTTTGTTTTTGATATAACTATTGTAATGTTCTGAATAGGGTTTTTTGAAAGTATGGCCCGTATTACCAATATACAATTTTGGACAACTACCATAATTTACTTTATATACTCCCAATTTATTAATGGAACAATTTTGCCCTTTTTGTTTTTAATATCCCAAGCGTATTATTGTTTTTGAAAGCTATGTTTTGGTTTTTTAAGTATGACGAAACCTTCACTGGGGGTTTCTATATAATATGAGAGAATCGCATAGTTACAATTTTGATGGATTTCATCAAGTTAAGGCCTAACAATCAAGAACATAGTTGTTTGTTTAACAAGGCAGAGAAGTAACAGATTTATTACCGCAGCTAGCATTTCATTGGCGAGGCGAAACCGAGACAATGAAACAAGCCAAGTCAGTAAATCTGTGTCTCTGCCATGTGAAATATCTAATTTTTTCTGATTGTTTATACAGTGTGTTTAAAAAATGGAACTAAAATGAAAACCTCTTTTAAGTATAACTGATATAACTCACGCATTTTTAATATATCGTATTTTATGGTTTTTGATTAAATATACTTATAGTAACTTTGTATTTAATTTATTACAGTAACTTTTTTGGCCGGATGCCCATGCAGAAGTCTTGAAAAGAAAAAAAAAGTAATTTTTTAATGCCTAAGCAGTAAAAGTGTTAGGTACTAATAAAATCGAGAAATATCACTAAAAGTTACATTTAATGTCAATCGACAAGAACATTAGTTCATCAGAATGGCAAATTCTTTAAAAATATTATTTCAAGTATAAATTCACACAGGTGTGTAAAATCAAATTTTACCCTAATTTTTCTATTAGAGCCTATGACTTTCACGTACAGGTTAAAAGTGAGTAGTTGGCTCTACTGGTTTTGCTTTTTTGTACATTATAAATATTTTCCTATTAAAGTTGTGCATAAATTTCACGCACTTCTTACATAATATACATAGAATGCAGAACATAGAATGCTTTTCATTACTAGACTATATTATAACATAAAACATTTTTGTAAAATTTTGCTTTACTTACGTGTTGTCCTCTGATGTATTGACTACCGGAAGATTACTTTCCGCCTCAGAATAATTTTCCATTCTTTTTTTCAAGAACCTAATATATAGAACAAAAAATAAATCAATATTATTTAATTTTAAATATAAATTGGTATTACCTTAATCGAGCCAGTCGCTTATTTTTCAGTTTGTATGTTGGTTTTATTTTTCCCATCTTTCACAAAAATGCACTTAATAACTTAAAAAAAACTAACTCTATAGGTACTCCTAAATGTAATTTAATCTAACTACAGCTATTCACTAAATTAAAATAAAAAATATTGTAAACACCCTCTAATAAATCCAACTACATTATAATAATATCTCACAATACACCAAGAACAACTAAATGCGGTTCTGGTTTCCTTAATTCAGGTAACTCTGACTCACTTAAGACCTCTGAACGTCGGCAGCCGTGGTAGGGAAATAATATGTGGGACGGAGAACACGATTTCGAGTTCGAACGTTAAAATTTTGTAGGTACGCTCTTAAGCAGAGACTCACGAAAACATGCATTCTACGAATTCTTAAATCTACAGTCCACTATTCGCTCACGCTGACCGGAAGTTAACTCCACATTTGCAGGGACGAAGATTTGATGGAAGAGAAATTGTTGTTCACCACAAAACAGCATCTTCTCTTGTTCAGGTCGGGAGGTGGACTCCTTTTATATTTTATAATGTTTGCCTCATTACAAGTGATGAATACAGACGAATGTCTTGTTCCCGTAATCATTTTTAACATTTGGAACACATTTTTGACCATTAGGTTAACTTGAGGCTTGTTAAATGAAACATTTGTGTCCTAACGGCTTTTTTTATTAATTTAAATAGACAAAACACAAATCTGTTCGTTAGCATTTCTAAACTCGCATATTCGTATCACAACTTTTAAAAATAGTTCTCTTTGTACCTGGCCGTTTTTTATTTTTTTTTTTTAAATTGTTGAATATTGCATACACAAATACTCCAAACTTTATTTTATTCATCTTAGTTTATTGGTTTATTTAAAATTTGTATTTAACAATTTTTAATGGTAAGGAATTATAGCTAAAAATCTAAAAACATTTCAACTTTGACTCCTTCTATCTTTTTCCACACTTTTACTATGCCATATTTGTTCCACTCCGTATATTTTGGTCCAAACAATCTCGTTATTACGTCTTATTAGTTATAATCCACCCTGTTTGTGGAAATTTAAGTCAAAACTTGTTTCTTTTACAGATTTTCAACCGCAAATGTTTCACTTAAATGGACCATACTAAACCCCGATCAAAACTCTATCGTACTCCCAAAAAGCTGAAGAAGGTTGATTCGAAAGAAACATCAACGAATCTCGAACTAAAATCTAGGTCAGTAAACCAAAACAACTATTAAACTACTACTAATCACGGTAATATCCAGATTTGACTCCTTTAGATTTTTTGTTTTATTTTCTTTTACTCATATAATTCTAGGTACGAACGCCTCCAAAAAGAAAACTCGAAATTAGATAAAGAAATCGAAGGTTTGGAGAAAGATGGCGTCACAGAGGATATGCATCTCCAGATGGAGGCGTTGCACGATTACAATGAAATGAAGGACGTTACTCAGGTGGTTCTGGGGTATTTAGCAGATGTGGAGCACGTCACTTTGAAGGAGTTACACCAGAGATACAATTTGCCCATAGAATAGATTGGTAAGTCGTTGCTATCAATTCTGCATTCTGTATATTATGCGGGCGTAGAAAAAATTTTTGTTTTCTTTAATTACAAAAAAAAACATTTTTTTTTTTTTAATTCTAGATTTTCTCTTTTGGAATAAGAATGTCTATCTACTTCTGTTACGAAATAAATATTTTTGGCCCTAAATAAACACTGTACCCGACAGAAGCCAGTTATTATGTCACCCTATTTACACAAGTGTAACTTGATCTAGTTTGGCGCGGAAAGTAAATAAATAAATCTTTTTATTCCTTGTACAGGTATGAGAAAAATCAAAACATGGTGTATAAATTTTTGAAGTAGAAATAGAAAGTAGAAAATACAAATAAACTATAAGTAAAACAAATCAAAAACAAAATAATTTATAAAATAAAGGTACTTTATTCTTGAGCAAAATCATATTTATTAACAAACCTCGTATACGACTAATAAAATTTGTTGTCGAATGGTTCAGTTTTAGTTTTTAAACCATGCACAACTTTTTATATAGAATAACTTTTTTTCCTAAAATTAATAATAAAAAAGTTTTCCATACGTCGCAGTATGTGTACATTGTAATTTCATTAGACAATAATCTCATGTATCATCAGTGAATAAATAATATCATCTGCATATATTGTAAAACCATTACAAAATTTATGAATTTCCGGAAGATCGTTAACTTATGTTAAGTAGAGCAAAGGGCCTAAGATGCATCCTTGAGGAACTCATATTTATGTGTCTAAAATGTTTATTAGTATGCCATTAATATCAACAACTTGTCTTCTATTATCCAGATAAGATCAACCAATCGCTTTTTATCCCATACCATAGTTGTATAATTTTGCAGTCAACCAAATCGAAAGTTTTGTTCAATTCCACAAACAGGCCTATGTACTTGTACTAAAGCTGTCTGTGTACTTTTCGTTTCCCTAAAACCATATTGATTATTAAGTTAAAATAGTGCATAATTCTAGAAAAAAATACTTTTTCTAATACTTTTGAGATTGAACTAAGAACTGCAACTGGGCGATAGTTCTGGACGTTAGTTTTTTCTCTCTTTTCAAATAGCGGTACAATTCTTGCCGTCTTAAATATATCAGGGAATAAACCATTAACCAATGACAAATTAAATGAAAAAGTAAGACGTTATACTAAATAATTTATTCCCGAGACTAAATTTTGCTCTAATATGGTCCAAGCCTACTGAATTAAACCTTTTGAGACTTAAAATAATAATTAAACACCTCTGCGTTTGATACAGGATGAAAGAATAACGAATATAGTTTCGTAAATATTTTTTGGTTTAAACTCATAGTTATTTTGTTCGATATTATTTTTAATCGTTAAGTGATGTGGAATATTAACATAAAAAATGATTAAGTATTAGCAGTTATTTTTTGGTTTGTAACTACATTATTATCTACGACTACTGCATTTGTTGTATTACAGTTATTTACCTTATTGTTCGCATTTTTGTTAATTAACTTCTATACGCATTTTTATTAGATGAATCATTGTATATCCTATCATTGTGTATTTTTTTCGCACCTTTTACAACTTTTTTGTAGATTTTTTTTTATAATTATTACAGTAACGAGCATCTGCCTGATTATTCAACATTGTTATCTGTATTAATGGCTTTACGCCGTAACTAGTCGCTTTCTAACAAATAAATTCTATTCATGTGGTATTAATTTCAACAGAAGTAAAAATTGGTATTCCTCGAGGAACAGTCTTAGGTCCAATACTTTGCTTATTGTACATAAATAATATCACTCAGTTAAACAACTTCATTGGACATTTAATTGTACTGATGAGACAGTTCACTTGCAACTGATACTGATTGCAATGAAATAAAAACTTCTTCTGAGTCTGACCTGCATAAATTACAATAAGCTAACCCTTTACTCGTATAAAACAAAGTTTGTAACTTTTACTGCATTAGTCACAAATTAGTCACAAGACATTCCTACAAAACTACTAGATTACAAAAATAATGAGCGTAGTTGTACAAATATTGAAAAAAAGTTTCTAGGGGTTATTATAAATCAACATATTGATTGGTCAGATCATATAATACATATGTATCTGAAACGTGTGGAAGGGGGGTTATCCCACGGTACTTAGGCTTCACTAGGCCCATTGTGCATCCTCCTAAATTGATAGGCACCTTATTGCTCGTGAGCCAGCCTACAGATTTAATGTAGTTGACATCGCCAAGAGGTACTTCTCTTATATCGGCTGATGTTAGCCGATACTCCCTAAACACAAATCTTCTAATAAATAAGAGCGTCGGGCAATCGTAGAGGATATGAAGATATGCTCGATGGTTACATCTTGTTCCCACCCCCTGCAGAGTGCGGATTCTGACAGCCCCATGCAATGAAGATGCTTCCATACTTGGCAATGACCAATCCGAATGCCTGTGAACAGGCGCAAATTTTATCTAGCCATAATCAAGTATTTGTTTGGTGCAGTGTTGTCAGGATAATTTAAAAACTCCCTGACAAGTTTGCAGCTTCTTGTTTCATCCCACCTTTCCTTGAATTTCACAAGGAAATGTTCTTTAACTAGGTCTCTCACTACCGATATTGTCAGTCTAATAAAAGGGCCAGCTCCAAAAAGTATTTGGTTGGCTGCTTTCTTGGCTAGTGAATCGGCAAGACAGTTACCTTTTGATGTGGCGTGACCTTTGACTCATCTTAAGGTAATTATATTGTTGATGCATACTTCGGCCAAAGCTTAGTGGCATTCTAGTACTAACCCTGAGATAATCATGTACCTTCCAGTGATATTATTTCTGATAACTTTTATTGTTACTATGAGAATATTCGAGAGCTTTGTTTACACTACAGTGGCACTATTGCTCATAGTCCATTTTATTTTTAGTTTTAAGGATCTGGAGTATATTCCACATCCTGAACGTTGTTTAGTTTTAGAACCGTCGGTGTAGGTGAATTGTACCTGCCACTTCCGACTCTTCTATTTGTTTCGTCATAACTTTATAAAAGACATATATCGGTGAAATGGAGTTCATGTTCGCTTGAAGCAGTGAAAGCGCATCAAACGCCTCCTGTCAAAAGCGACGTATCGCCTCACCAGATCCTTCATTGGGTTCTATTCCAACAGTACGGAATTGTGTCATTGTCATCAGAGACCTCCTTGAAGTAAATATCAAGGGGAGTGAGACAGAATAACTTCCATGGCTCTGGTTGATGTGGTTTCCGTGCTCCTGTTATGCTGAGACATGCTGTTCTTTCAATATGTTCTAGTTTGTGGATAGCTGTCAATTGTTGGGGTTTCGATGCCAAAACAACTCTACTGTATGTTAATATAGGTCTTATGATGGCTGTGTAAGTCCATGTGATGACTCTGGGGGAGAAACCCCAGTTGCACCCTACGGTTCAGTGACATTGATCATAAGCAATGTATGCTCTTTTGACAATGTACTACCTAGGTACTTTGTGTTTAGGAGCTCTGGAAGTTTTAGTTCAATTTTCAATCTTTTCCTTGTGGAAAGGACCATTTTTGTCTTTTTAGGATTAATAGCGAATGGTCCTTGCACCACTGTTTTATAATTTTGAGAGCGGCTTGCATTCTTTCACATAGTATTTTCTCTAAATTCCTTGTTACTGAATGACCAGGTCATCTGTATACGTTATTGTGTAGAGATTGTCATTATTAAGGCGGCTGATGAGGTTGGCGAGGACTATGCTCCACAGTAAAAGTGATAGCACCCCTACCTGTGGACATCCCCTACCAACCAAGCCTCTTAAATTCACATCTTCTACACTTATGTTTACTGCTCGCTTTGAGAGCATGTTATGTATCCCCTACTAATCATCTGTGGAACATTTCTTTTGGTTAGGAAGATGGTTTTGTCAAAAGTACCTTTTATGTCTATGAAAATACCCAAGGCGGACTCCGTATTGTCCAGGGATCTTTCTATCCGGTCAGCAACTAGGTGAAGGGCTGAATCAGTAGATCTTTCTGGGGTTTATGCATGCTAATTTGGGTGTAGTGGTGTTGCTGTAAACAGCACGTACCTTATGTACGTTTCGCATAACTTCTCCAATGTTTTCATGGAAAACGATGTCAAGCTAATTTTATTGGCCTGTCTATTTTTGGTAATCCATCCTTCCAGGTTTGGATATGAAGACCACTTTTACCTCTCTCCATTTTTTTGGGATATCATATAATACATATTAGTAAGCGTTTATGCTCTAATACATCAATTCTATATTCTAAGAGATGTTTTATTTAGAAAAAAATTGTTAATTCTTTACAATTCTCAAGCAAAAACAATACTAAGATATTGTATTACTGCATGAGACGGCAACTTTAATAACACCTTGCAAACATTACAAACAGTTTAAAACACGTCCTATTAGAATTAGGGTATCGTTATTATGCTTTTTCAAAAAATTAAGACGTTAATAATTTTCCTATTATTTCAAAAAAAGATTTGTTAAACCAGAACAAATTAATTATTTAGTATCTTGGATATTTATTTCAAATTATTTTTATCGTGTTCTAAAAGACAAAGATACAAAATTCGTTCCATTATAAATTTATAATAGTATTGTATCTATTTATGTTCCTAGAACATTAAGAAATAGTAAAAGTATTTGATGACAACCACCTTGTTACGATAGTTGCGATGGATGGTAAACTTTGTTAGAAAATACTCATAATTTTCCATTTATGCATTTACTGTAAACTATTTATAAAATATTCATAACCAGTTAGAGAAAAATAAAACACAACATTTAAAATTCCACTTTTATTTGCGCAAAATAGTTTTCAAAAAGTTTCGCAAGCCATTTTTTCTTCTTCTAAAAACAATTATAAATACATTTCTTGTTTAATTTATAAATTCCTACTTTTTGTACATAATAATTATTAAAATATACTACATATAAAAAAATGAAGGTGCCTTTCGCTAAAAAAAATGAGCGTGTTTCCCTTATCGACTAAAATCACCGCATTTAAAACATTTACATTCCGAAGGCTCCCTCAATTTGACATCAAGCGCGTTGTTGCCTTCACCTGTTAATCTGACGCCATCCGGGTCGTAGCAGTGAGACAGGGTGACTATTCGTTCTCGCAGGAAGCTTTCTCTACAGCAGTAACATTCCTGAAAATAAAAACAAACAAGATAGTTTAGCAGCCTGACACACTCGATTTTATTTATTATTGACCCGTCCTCGTATATGGTAAATGAGAAAACACGTGTTTTCTTTATTTTGAAAGGAGTCTAAAATATTGGAAAATAAAAAACAAACTAAAATTATGATTCCGCTATACTGAAATTCTAATCTCTCTGGTTGAACTTAGTGCATTGCCATATGTCTTATAGTGGATTTTATTTTTTGCACTAGTGTTAACACTCGACATTGTATTTGAACTGTCATACTTGTCAAAAGTATATGCTACACGTGTGCTACTGTCAAATATTTTAAGCTACACTGAAATAATAAAATGCGATTAGTGCAGAAAACTTGTTTTAACAACAAGCTCAAAATGCAAAAGAAGGTATGAAAATGCATCGTCATAGATAGGTGAAAATATTTATCTGACCCATTTACTACTATGCAGTAATAATGATGTTCCCGAACATTTCGGAGAAATTCAGGGATTATTTCTTCACATGCTTGCACTATTCGGTGGCTGGCGAAGATCTCCTAAAGATGTAGATTCCTTTTTATAATCAACACTTTTTAAATAACCCCACAATAAAAAGTCCACTATTGATAGATCTGGCGATTTTGGGGACCATTCAATGAAACCCCTTCTACCAATCCAGTGTTGATTTAAAAAGTCACGTACAGCAGTTGCATAGTGTGGTAGGCCGCCATCCTGTTGGAATATGATCGTCGTTTTTCAGAATCTCCACAATACGAGGGTAGATGAAGTCTTCAAGCAAATTGAGGTAAGACTCACCCGTCAAGTTACCAAGTAGAAAAAAGGGACCAACAATATTATTGCCCAAAATCCCAGTCCATACATTCAACTTGTCCGGATCAAATATTAAATATTTGTTTCTTAGAAAAATAACAAAAAACATTGAAAGTTTTACCCCCCTATCTAACTCGTTACTGGAATCTTGTTAGGAAAATCGCCGAGACACATCGATTTAGTTTACCCTTCATTTCATCCCTTACTGGAGGGGAGTAACCCTTTCGAAAAATTTAAATGGCATGGGGTGGTGAGTGATAGATCATTTGAAAGGGGGTTTTATTCTCTATTCAACCGTGCAAAAATTTTTGAAATTTGTTTCATTACTTGATTTATTAATGCTTAAAAATAAGAACAAGAACAAACAAGAAAGCAACTAAACTAACAGTGACCTTATCTAATGGAAAAAAGTCTTACTTCACGTCTGAATCAAAACTGATATCATGCAGAGCCGAATTTTAATTCTAAGGATGAGTGCGCTACGTTAATTTTCGTTATTCTGAAACAATAATTAGTCGAGAATTAATTAAGCAAATTTCAAAATTTTTTGCACGGTTGAATAGAGAATAAAACCCTCTTTAAAATGAGCTGTCACTCACCACCCCATGCCATTTAAATTTTTCGAAAGGGTTGCAGTTAGGGATGAAATTAAGGGTAAACTATTCATACAAAAATGTACATTGTAGAAATCAAAAATCGACGTGTCTCGGCGATTTTCCTAACAAGACTCCAGTAACGAGTTAGATAGGGGGGGGGTAAGACTTATGATGCTCACTGTATAATTAGGTAGTGTGTCAGAAAGGTATTCCTGCCCTATCATGTAAAGCGCAGTGCCGGACCAGGTGTATATTTTAGAACACGCCACACAAAAATAAAAAAATTATACAAAAAAATTAAGCCAGGAAAGCAAGAAATTGGCTTTATACAGGATATTTCAGAATAAAGTATTGTAAACAGGGGTAGATCTTATTAACTAATTTTTAAGAAAAGCTAAATATAATTTTCCTGTAAATGTCCCAGTTTTTATTCTACAGGATGATAAAGTGAATTTCATAAATACTCTCTTAAAACTATAATCTATTTATAAAGATTTACGTATTGATTACCTACCTGTTTGTTTTGAATGCTATTTTTATTTTAATATAGAAAATAGGATTTAAAAAATTACAGGAAAGACCCTTATTCAGGTGTAGTCCAGGATCTGTAAATAAGGTCGACCTTCGCCCATCTGTTTCACGAATAAAAGTTTTTTTTTATTAAATAAAATGTTTTTAAATATACCGCAAATGGGTTGCTTAAGAAAATACGGTCACGGTCATTTTTTACTTTCCTTTCTGGGTACAGATAAGGAAGGTATAGGAATCATGATAAAAGTTGCTTATGATGTTATTCTCTATTATTTTGTCCCTATACATGATTTCCCTAAAATGGAACTAATTCGAGATAATTGAGGAAAAGTTCAAATTTCGAATTTTGAAGATAACTCTAAAACGGATTAAGAGAAAAACACCAAATTTTAAACTTAAGCTTTGATCCATCCTGCGGTGAGCAGATTAAAGTTTGGGCATAGTCGAAGCATCCAGGGAATACTTTACAGGGTGTCGTTTTTTTTTTTACTTTAAGAAAATAAATAGTAAGGACCGTATTTTCTTAGGCAACTCATTTGCGGTATATTTATAAACATATTTTATTTAATAAAAAGAAACTTTCATTTGGAGTGAGGGTAGCCATATGTGAGTAGTAGGGATTAAGTGTAAGGTTAAAGAAAAAGTCCTTTATTTCTCACAAAGTCAATTTATTGGTGACCGGTTTCGAAGTTGTCACTTCATCATCAGGCACACCTTGTAGCGCTTCCTTTATGGAATTAGTCAAGGTGTGCCTGATGATGAAGTGACAACTTCGAAACCGGTCGCCAATAAATTGACTTTGTGAGAAATAAAGGACTTTTTCTTTAACCTTACACTTAGAAACTTTCATGCATTAAACAGATGGGTGAAGGTCGACCTTACTTCGGATCTTAGACCAGTATGTGAAAAGACAAAACATGGTGTACAAATTTCATGAAATAGAAAAGACAAATAAAAGTTATATGACTAAAACGCAAATCTAAAACAAAATAATTTATGAGGAGAGCAATGTAAAGATACCATGACAATGTAAAGGTACCAAATAGTTTTACATAGGTAGACTTAAGGGGTAGAGGGTCCAAATATTTTTACATACATTTCAAACAATTTGCACACCCTAATCAAAAGACAACACCTACATCTTTGTGAATATTTCCTGCAAATTTGGTGTAAAAATAATTTTAAAGAATAAAGTTATTCAAAAAATAAAAATTGCTCACTTTTTTTGGCCCATCATGTAGGTATGGATGTTCTTTTTTTATAATAAATAAAAGATAATTTTAAATAATATTTTTTGCGGTATTATTACGAAAACTATACAAGTTTTAACTTTTTCAAATAATCTAACCGTTTTATTTACAGCATAACCTTCGCATAACTATTTTCATTAAAGTACCTTTAAAAATCCAGTAGGGGTAATGACAGACGGTTGGACTTGACTTTTACAGGAACCTTCGCATTTATTTACGGCTATTTCGCCATTACAAGTCCTTTGCAGCCTTCCAAGTTCATCGTATTCCTCTAAAATCAAATAAATATTGCACTTGACACTTTTGTAGCAGTTAAACAACCAGTTTTGTAGATTAACATAATAATAATAATGACTTATTGACAATCAAGTAAGCTATGACTTATTAAAATAATGTCATTATTGGAATATTTTATAATTACTTAAATGGCAACATTGTAAAATGATTTGTAACTTATGACAATCAAATTAGCTGAAAAAAGTTAAAAATATTCCCAAAATTTTGTCATTATTGAAATATTTAAATACGAAAAGTCATAATTCATAACAATCATAAAACGATTTAATAATATCATTGAAAAAAAAAACGTTTAATTTCATTTTAAAATTTCCATTGTCGTGGAATATTTCTATAAAATATTGAAGCCTTCAAAGAATTCAGTTTACCATGGAATTGAAGCAAAGACTGAGTAATGAAATAATTTAATTTAAATACAAATTATTGTGAATGGAACAATACATTGTCGTAAATGGTTGTTTAATTATTATTTACAATCAAGTAAGTAATACATTTACAGTTATCTTGTTTTCAAATTTATAAAATTGATCGATTAAGGAAAATTTTAGCACCTGATGACGTAAGGACAATTTAAACTTAATAATTTCAACTGTTTTTTTTTTTAGTTACCTTTCGTTAAATGGATTTCGGATGGCAATGTTTCGCATGTTTCTTCTGACATATCGTTTACACCGTTTACATAGGAAAAACTAAAAATTACGAAAATTACAACATAAAACAACATCTCTACGCGAATTTCTAAAGTTGACTGAACCCTATCGAAGCCATTTCATCCCATTTATACCCTCTGTCGTATCCCTACCACTTATTTTTATCAAAAACAACACCCTTAATTTTGCTGTATACAAAAAGAAATACGCAAATGAGGAATAACGATAGAGAATTAAAAATATTTGGTACAATAATGACACTTAGAATTCTTTTTATTTGAAATAATTACTATTTACATTAATCAGAGTATGGGGTTGGGAATATGCGATTATTGACCCCTTGTATTGTGGCTGAAGCCCCCTGGAGTGATACAAGTTATACGTTTTATCCTTTTATGTTTCGAGATTATGTTTTTTTGAATATTAATGTTTTTACATAATGTTTACGGCGGTTGATATATCGGGTTTAAAGCTTTTTATATACTGGATGTTTTGTGCAATTTTGTTTATTTAATATTTCAACACTAGTACAAATAGTTTATTAAACTTTTTAGCATCTCCTGAAATTTTCATATCAAATGTTTGGATGGTTTCTACTAGCAATGTCAAAACGGAAAAATCGCATTTTCATCTTTATTTACACATCTTTTTAAACTGGTTTTTTTTCTAATCTAATTCAAAATATTTTTTAAACAATTCTAATCTATTTCTAATTGTTTTTGAGTTAAATCTAAATTACAAGAACAATGTGTGGTTTTTGAGTTATGAACAGTTCATTGGAACACTGGCAAATCTTACTTTCGACTATTTTACTCATTTATTTGAAAACCAGTAATAACTTCAAAATATTGGTGGCGAAAAGAGCTAAGCCACACACTTATTAATTGAAGAAAATGGGTAAATAAGTTTGTAACTCTTAGTTTAAAACAACTTTTGATTCAAAAGTTTTTATTCACTAAATATAACATTTGGTACAAACATTTTAAGACTAATTTAAAAAAAAAAAAAAAAAGGTATGTTGTTTAAAAATACTTTATCACTGAAAATGTAAAACAAGTTTTGAAGAAAATAATAAAGAAACAGAGAAGACACCTATAGAAGAAGCTAATAAGGTTGTAACGACAAGAAGTGGGCGCATTGTAAAAGAACCTCAACGTTTTGAATCTAGTTAAGATTTTTGATGTAACTTTTAGGGGGGGGGGGGGGAGTATGTATTTTCACCTAACTTCTTTCAGTTTGTGGGATTTTAAGGTTATAATTACATAATCGCTTATCTCTATTCACCACTGTATTTTTCAGAATTGTTTTATTTATGTGATATAATTAACTCTTTTGCCTTAAAATGTGGCCTAGCTCTTTTCACCACCAATACAACGATATGTTGATATTTATTGTGAAATTTCTATGAATTTTAAATTGTTTTTGAGTTGTAAAATTACTAGAATGTCAAAATTGGAAAATCCTTTTTGCCACTTTATTTGTTCATTATTTTAAAACCAGTGTTTTTATTAAAATAAAATTTTAACTAATTGAATTTTCAGCTAGCATTTTTGTGTAGTTTTTGAGTTACGAACAGTTTACTGGGACACTGTCAATACTGACACATCTTTATTTCGCTTTATTTACTCACTATTTGAAAACTAGTAGTAACTTTAAAATGGGATCTTTACAATTCAAATTTATCTTTTTTACAATCACACATAAAATTTTCATTTTATTTATTTAATTGATTTTTGAGTTATATGCAAATTGTTAGAGCTCAATGTCACAATAATTGAAATATTTTACTTGTAAATTTATTCGCTTATTATTTAAAATCAAGTAATTTTATTAAAATAAAATCTTATCGATTTCACGAACTTTTTTACACCCCTTATAAAATTTTCAGCTAGAATTTCTTTGTGGTTTTTGAGTTACGAGTAGTTTATTGGAACACTGTCAACACTGACTTATCTTTCTTTTGTCTTTATTTGCTCACTATTTTAAAACCAGTAATAACTTTAAAATAGGATCTTTGCAAGTCGAATTAGTCATATTTTTTGCATTTACTCTGAAATTTCCATCTTATATTTTTAATTGATTTTTGAGTTCTATGCAAATTACTTGAGCATTGTCAAAATTGGATAATCCTACTTGCGACTTTATTTGCTCATTATTTTAAAACCAGTATTTTTATTAAAATAAAATTTTAACTAATCGATTTCACGAACTTTATTGCATCCATTATTAAATTTTCAGCTAGCATTTTGGTGTTGTTTTTGAGTTATGTGAATTTATTGGAACATTGTCAACACTGACAAGTAACTTTAAAATGGTATATTTATAAATCGAATTGCTCATTTTTTTTGTATCCGCAGAAATTTCCATCTTATATTTTTAATTGATTCTTGAGTTATATGCAGATTATTAGAGCAGTGTCAGTGTTGAATTATTTGTACAGAATCGTGGTTTTAAGAGAAAAAAGAATACGATATATTTTCGGTTGATGTCTATTAAGTCAATATGACAAAACAGTGAACAACAGATAATAATTAAAATACAGGGATAAGTAAAAACTATGAACAATAAAATCCTAACATACTCCCCCCCCCCTAAAAGTTACATCAAAAATCTTAACTAGATTCAAAACATTGAGGTTCTTTTATAATGCGCCCACTTCTTGTCGTTACAACCTTTTTAGCTTCTTCTATAGGTGTCTTCTCTGTTTCTTTATTATTTTCTTCAAAATTTGTTTTATATTTCATCTTTTCAGTGATTTGGGGTGCATTGGTTTCAGTAAATCGTTTTCTTAGTTCATTAATGTGTTCGTCTCGATCAGGTATTTCTAACGGATATAGTCTCTGAATCGGTCGTAAAACTTCTCCATGTTGCAGTTTGATTCGTGCAACACGTGTCATTCCATCTTTTCCGGGGATCAGTTCTAAAATTTTCCCTAAGGGCAACTTTAAACGCTTTACTCCCTCTAATCCAACGTACACTAGGTCTCCTTCCATTAGGTGCTTTGCATTTGTCTTTTTTGTATAAACTAATTCTCCTAGATATTCCTTTCTAAATTGGGATCGAAAATCATCTCTTATCTTTTGTAAATACCTCTGTCTTCTTAATACGTGGTATCTGTCTATGTTGTGTAATAGATTGACACGTTGAAGCGCCATTTTGTAATTGCTCGGCGTTACCTTGCAATAAATGTTAATTTCAAAACTCTAATAAGAAATGTAGACTAGCTCATAAAAATTTAACACCAAACATTACTTAACTTTGAAAATTAAAAAAAGAAATGAGCACATTGACCATAGTTTTCTCAGTCGTGAATTCGGCTTTTCTAATAGACACCTCTGGGTTAATAATTTTCTGGGAGAGTGTGGCGCCAATAATTCTCTTTTTTTATTTTTAGAAAGCTAGTGAGAATTATAAACTCTAGCTTTATCAAAAAGAAATTAATAAAAACTTATAAAAATTAAATTTGAGTAAAAGAGAATTGTAACCTTAAAAAAATAAGATTTAACATACATGAATTTGTTTATTTAATTATACGACATGAATTAAATTTATAAAAATAAAAAATACTGAAACTTTCTAGATAATGATTTTTTTATCATGCTGGTACAAACCACTATAAAGTTAAAACTCGAATCATACCAAAATCAATAGTTCTTTAATAGCCTCGTGAATTATTTACCGATATATAGATATCTGTAGATCTTCGTAGTTAGGAATGTTGCCATCAACGATAGCCTCGGTAGCCTCTCTAACTCCAAAACATTCAATTGAAGAATTTGAACATAATTTCTGTTCAAGTAGCAGGTATCGGTATGATGGAGAAAATTATAACGTGAGAGAGAGAAAGAGACTGCTTACATTCGCTTCCTAAACAAAAATAAATTCTGCTTTTCACGAGGCTCTTGTATGATATATAATTTAACTTTTACACATTTACTTTTTTTTAAATTAAATCCAGATAAAAAATCTAATTAATATAGACAATGTGTAAATTCAGCTCACAAACTGAGTAAAGCATATTTAATAAATTTAAATTGACTTTTAAAATAAATAACAATAAAAATAAGTAGAAATATAATTTTTACTGAGATATCTTTAAAATGACATTATTAAAAAAAATTACCACTATATTTTGCAGTCTAAACACTCAACTTTTAGTTCAAGTTATCAGATGAGAAATGAATTTTAATGAAAAGATTTTAAAATTGGAAGCCAGCCAGATCCCCACCCAGAGAAATTTCCCTCTCTAAGCATATTGCTAGCGCCAATAATTAAATGGTAAATCAATCTGATACTAATTTATACAGGATGTCACACAATTAAAATAACATTTTTAAATGGAATTTTAAAATGTTACAGCTGTCTATATAAGGTATCTCGTTCGTACGTATGTCTTGAATAAACATTAAAGGTGCCAGGGTCCTTAAGCATTCGTCTTCATAAATATATGTTAAAGGTCTGCTATTGATAATTGATTCACAGTCACAGATTATGGTTAAAAGTTCTTCGTAGTTCACAGACCTTTGCCCAAATTTCTCTTTAAAAGATCTTTAATCATTTTAATGAGCCTTTCCCACCATCCTCCCCACCAGGCAGCAGTGGGAGGATTGAATATCCACTTGATCTTTTTCAGCGTTGAAAATTGTTGAATTTTATTCCACTCAATTGAACTATATAAATTGTTAGCTCCCACGAAATTAGTACCATTGTCGGAGTAAACAATAGAAATTTTTCCTCTTCTTGCCAAAAATCTTCTAAACGCCATAATGAAACTAAGTTGATAATGACTGTACAATTTCTACGTGTACTGCCCTATAAACTGCACAGGTAAATAGTACTATCCACGCCTTTGTTCCATCTTTCAGAAGTAAAGGCCCTGCTAGGTCAACGCCTGTTACTTCAAAAGCCGCTGCGGTATTTATCCTTTCTTTAGGCAGTGTAGCAAAAGGAGCATCTAAAGCTTTTGATGAACATCTTTTACAGATGTTATATCCTTTTATTACTTCTTTTATCGTCTGCCTTCCACGTAGAATCCAATAATTGTCTCTTAGAATACACAGCAGTGTTTGTACTCCGGCATGTTTGTATTGTCTATGTCTAAAATTAATCTTCTCACTAACTCGTGTTTGGATGGCAATAATATGGGATATCTAAAATTGTATGGATCTTCTCCTAAAGCTAATATCGTCTTTATTCTGAGTAAACCCTTTTTATCCATGAAAACATCGAAATTCCTAAAATTCTTGAAATTACGGGGATCGTTGAAACTCTCAGTTTATATGATCTTAAAAATTCCAACTTCAGCTTCGTTTATTTCATCTAAGGTTAGATCTCATTTTTTAGGTTTGAGACCAAAGACTACCCTGCAATGCCGATAAATCTTCCTTGTATCATTCTGAAAATTTTTCCACCAGAAAAATCTTCTCTATCTTTTGGTGGAATACTAATTTGCAAAAATGCTTTCTCAATATCTGCGGTAACTCCAATGTTACCTAACCTAAATTGAATCAGAAGTTTAGGAATTAGTTTAATTAGGTTTGGGCCTGAATGAAGAAAATTGTTTAAGGAATTGCCGTTTACATCTTTAGCTGATGCATCAAAAACTGGCCTAATTTTTGTAGTCTTACTTGTCTGTTTGATAACGGCGTGAAGAGGTAAATAATGAGTACTTCCTTTCTTATCCTCACCTCTCACTTCTTCTATTATTTCTAATTTCTCCCATTGATCAAAAACTCTGTCATAATCTTCAAATTGGTTCAAAGAGATTAATATTTTTGATGCAGAAATCGACCTATTCATTGTTACCAGTTCATTGGAGGCGAACTTCTCGTTGTCTTCGATCCATGGTAATTCAACTTCGTATCGCCCTTTTTCATTTACTCGGATAGTTTTATTAAATGTCTCAAGAATTTCTTCTGCTTCAGCTTCTTTTGTTTTTACTTCCGCAGGATCTGTGATTCCTAACATCTCCAAGTTTCCACAAATCTGGTATAGTGTGGCAACAAAAACTAGAACAAATTAGATCTAGGTTACATAGAGTACGCCTTTGTTGGCCCAATATAGTTCAGCCTAACTGCGTTTCTATGGCAACATAACCGTTATCAAAATGTTTAATTATTAATTTACCGAAAATGTCGGCTCCTAACAGAAGTTCAATCTTATTTAAGCTATTATTTACATCTATATCACTAATGAAAATATTCTTTCTCCTTAGTTCTTTAATAATATCATTATTCTGTAGTCTAGGAATAAATGAACAAATCTCTTTTTGTTCTAATACGCGTAGTTTTGATATCAAAAATATTGTGGATTTCTGGAGACTTAGATAACCCACCAAGTACAATAGTTTCTTGACCATTTTTAACAAATTGTAATTCTGAGGACGTTTCTGCTAAACTATATGATCTCTGCGATGCAGAATCTATCAAACAACGGACTATCTTTTCTTTATTATTATTTAATTAAAATAGTTGGCAACAAAGTTTCAGTATACTCGCTACTAGAAGTTAAAACTTGTTCTAGATTGCTACTAGTTGTACCTTGCTCAATGTTTTCTGTATTCTTTTGGATAACCTTTGGTTTATTATTTTTTACAGGCAAGTCCGGACAACAATAGGATAGTGTCTTTTTGTGCAAATTAAACATTTTATAAATGCTTTATAGTCTTTGCTTCTCTGATTAATTTTTAAACAAGCGAAGCATCCTCCTTTGCTCAAAATTTTGTTCTTTCTCGCTAACAAAGATAGACCCTTTGCTTTAATGCAGTCTTGACTTGCATGTAAATTATTGCAAAATATACAGTTAGAAACGTTTTTACCTGCTTGATTGTGATATTTCGAACCTGCTGAGTTAAGAAGTGCTGCTGAAGTACAAGGTTCACTCTCTACATTATCTTGTTTAGATCTTCTGGAACTATATTTCTGTTGTGACTGACTGACATTACTGTTACCGCGCTTGACTTGGACACTCTCTGGTACTTCAAAACTATGTTTGGCCAGCTTGATCCTCTCGTCAGACTCGACTTCTGCTCGAAGAAAATCTAATAACATAGACAAATGGTTAGAATCATTAAAAGTGTAATTTGCAACTCGAGCTTGATTCCGAGAAATCGTTCTTTGTCTTTCCCAAACTTTCAGCAGCTCATCTGGTAGTGAAGATTCCACAAGTGGGTAGAGCATGGCTGCGTACTTATCGCTAGTAACGCCAAGAGTTTAAGTAGTAATTGTAATAGTTCTCTTACATATACCTCAATAAGAAGTTCATCCTTAGCAAAGCGTATTTTCAAGGCGTTTATTACCTTGTTGTAATTTGGACCAGAAGGTGGAAAGCTTTCGACAAGATCTCTTGCCATGGTGCCCGGTTCAGTTCCTTGAATTAAGTATTGGAACTTGTCTTCCAGATCTATATCTTCGTCTTCATCTCTTTTTAAATTGCCTCTAAAATCCAGTCCAATTTTTCACGTTTCCATTAAACTTCTTGAATTCGATCTTCGGTAGTTGAAATCTCTTTCTTCTGTCTCCGTTTGATTTTATAGAATCCTTTTCTTCCTGTGTTTGAATCTCTACTGCTTTACACTTTCTTCTATAAACAATCATGCTAGTTTTGTAGTAGTGAATGTCATCAAATTCCTTCTAGATTTCTTGCTCGGTCAGTTCTGAATAAAGGTGCTCCTTAAGACAAGTCATCAGACAAGAATAAACATTCAGTTGTCTCTTCTAAAATGGCAAACTGATCAAGTACGTCGTCCTTATTAATGGGTTTCTTTGCTAGTCTTCATCCAGTTTTTGTAAAAGTTTGTTGAAAGCTTTTCTCTGTAGTTTTCTCTCAACAATAAAATCCCAACAGTCAGAATTATAAAATCTTACTTGCTACATTATTTGCTCATTATTTTAAAACCAGTAGGTACTTTAATGAAAATAAAATCTTCACAATCGATTTCACGAACTTTATTGCATCCTTTATGAAATTTTTAGGTAGAATTTTGGTGTGGTTTTTGAGTTATGATCAGTTTATTGGAACACTGTCAACACTAACAATTCTTACTTTCGTTTTTATTTGCTCACCATTTTAAAACCAGTAATAACTTTAAAACTGGATTTTGACAAATCCAATAGGTCATATTTTTTGCATTCACTCTGGAATATCCATCTTATATTTTTAATTGATTTTAGAGTTATATGCAAATTACTAGAGCCGTGTCAAAATTGGACAATCATTTGCTCATAATTTGAAAACCAGCAATAACTTTAAATGTGATGTTTACAGATCGAACGGAATATTTTTTTTGTATTTATTCTGAAATTTTCATCTTATATTTTAGATTGGTTTTGAGTTATATGAAAAATTACTGGAATAATATGTCGAAATTAGGAAATTCCAATTTGCTCATCATTTTAACGTTATTAAAATGGGATCTTTCACTGATCAATTTTATGGTTCTTCTCAACCAATACTTTTTGATGATTTTAAAGTATTGCTATCATTGTAAGGTTGCACTCCGATTATTTGAGTCATGGCCTTTGTTCGAGGTGGTCCTTGCTCACGTTCTCAAGGAGAGCAACGTGTCATTATAAAATTCTAGGCGCCCCTCGTATGTATCTTTTGTTTTGTTTCTGATTGATTTTGAACATATTCATTACAATCATTATGATGATAAGACGAATTATTTGTTATATGCCTTGATTTTTGTTTCAGGTATTCAGTGAGACATTCATATCGAATATATTAGAAAGAAAAATGTCTGACACTTCCGAAGAAACCATCCAATCCGACAGAAATGGCGAGAATCACGAAAGCGTCTGTAGAGACTTCACTAGAGGTTTGTGCGATCGAAAATTCTGCAAATACAAACATGAAAACGAAATCAAACAGCTCAATTTCTGTCACGACTTCCAAAATTTCGTCTGCCCGCGACCTTTCTGCAAGTAAGTCAAATATTTTCTTCCATTTATTCTCCACATAAGAAAAATATCTTATTTACTTGTTAAATTATTATTACCTAAATATATAGGCTATTACCTAAATATATAGGCAGTTTAACTATCTTGTTTAGATGTGTGCTTTATCAAATTTTTTAAATTCTTTCAAGATTTATCCATTGCACGCTTGAAGAGGTCGACGAATACAAACGTACCGGACAAATGTCGCACCAAATTCTCACCGAGGCCACCAGGAAGCACCAACTGCCAGGTACTCCGCCCGTGTGCAATCAATTCAAAAAGGGACAGTGCAGAAGGGCCGTCTGCAAATACAGGCACATCACCAAAGAGCAAGAGGAGGCCGAAATCGTTGGTATAGTACAAAACGGCGTGCAGAAAACGCCGCCACAAGTGATATTTAGTAATAATAACGGCAATGGTTTAGCCGAAACGCAATTGGTGGCTTTGGAGTCGTTGGGAGGTAATAAATAATATTTTTGTTTGTATTTATATTTTGCAGTTTTTTTTTTTAATTATACCGTTGTCTAAATTTAGCTTATTCTGTACTACAATAGTATATTTCATTATCTGAAACTTGATGCTATTGGCGTTTAACATTATTAAAGTTTGACACTATTGGCATTTGACGTTATTGAAGTTTGACGTTATTGACGTTTGACAATATCATCAGTTTCAACATTCAACTCTTCCTTTTTAGGCGTTCTCAGAAGAAACGGCGTAAGTTTCGATGAATACAAGGAAGAAGGAATTCCTTTGATAAAAAGACGTTTTATAGCCACTCAGGAACCCGAAATCATTTGCGATATTATGGATCGTAACGGTACCGGATCGGTATTTAAAGGTTATTTCTCTGGAAATCCCCCGCCGGCCATGCTGAGCAGAGCTGACGCTAGGTAATTTATAAATTCGATAAAATCGTTAAGAAATGCATTACTTGTTTGTATTATTTTTAGAACGTTAATGTTAGAAGAAGAAAATCAAATGTTGCATAAAGAAATTGCTCAACTTAAAAAGCAGGTATGTTTAATGTCAAACTAATAATTTTTCATTAATAGTGTGTAAAGTAACTTTTTATACCAGTGAAAGTATGGTCACACGATGCGCAAACCGAGGGCGTAAATCACATTTGTACAAGTGATGTACAATATTTTTCCTACGATTACAAGATAAATTTAAAACCACCGGACTGGTTTAATCTGGATGTGGCCGGTTTGCATTTTTTTTTTGTCTGTGCTGAATAAATGTTCGCTGACGGTGACTATGTATTCTGTTCTGACAACGTAATTTTTAAAATTTTAGGTTAATTTTTAAAAATAATTAGCTAACTTTATCCACTTGAATCTTTTTACTGTCGATTTTTTATATTCTTTGCTTTTACTATTGGGTTCATTACAATCGTTTCATTTTTACAATATTGATTCCTTTTACAATAAGTATATTTTTTTACGATTTGGTTTTACTATCGATTTTTTACAAACGATTTTGTTTTACTATAGGTTTTTTTTACAATTTAAACTTGTTACGATCGACTCTCGTTTTCACAATCGATATTTTTTACTATCTATCCATTACAATCACTTTTTTAAAGTCGATTTTGTTTTACTATTGTTTTTTTTACAATCTATTTGTGTTTTACGATTGACTCTTTTTTTCATGATCGATAATCTTTACTATCAATTCATTACAATCGATTATTTTTTGTAGTCCTTTATTTTATAATCGATTCTTGTTTTTACAGTCGATATTTTTTAAATCTATTTACTTACGGTTTTTCTTTTAACCTGACCTGATTTTATCTAATCGATTTTTTTTTACTGTAGATTTCTTTATATTGGTTGCTTTTTACAAACGATTTTGTTTATCTCTTGATTTTACAATGAATTCTTTTTACAAACGATTTTTTTACAATTGATACTTATTTCGCAATCGATTCTAGTTTTCACAATCGATACTTTTTATTATTCATTCATTAAATTTCAATATTTTTTTATAGGTAGTTGATTCTTGTTTACAATTGATTTTTTTACAAAAAATTTTGTTTAACTCTCGATTTTTTGCACCGATTCTTGTTTTTACCATCGATATTTTTTTAAGTCTAGTTATTTACGATTTTTCCCTTGATGACTTGACCTAACTTTATTTGTTTCTTTTTACTATCGATTTTTTTACATTCGTTGCTTTTTACAATCGATTCATGACAATCAATTATTTTTTACGATTAGTTCTTTTTGCAATTGATTCTATTTACAAACGATTTTATTTTATTAATGTTGTTTTTACATTCGATGCTTCTTACAAACGATTTTGTTTTACTATCAGTTTTTTTACAGTCATACTTGTTTCACGATCGTCTCTTTTTTATAATCGATACTTTTTACATCGATTCATTACAATCAATTATTTTTTACGATTGGTTCTTTTTACAATCGATTCTTTTAACAATATATTTTTTTTATTAATGTTTTTTTTACATTGGATGCTTCTTAAAAACGATTTTGTTTTACTATCAATTTTTTTACAGTCATACTTGTTTCACGATCGGCTCTTTTTTACTATCGATTCATTACAATCTATTATTTTTTTATAGTTGATTATTTTTTTATAATCGATTATTTTCTACAGATGATTATTTTATTAACAATTTTGTTTTTCTGACGAATTTTTTACAATATATTCTTGTCTTTACGATCGATTCTTGTTTTCACAATCAATACTTTTTGAGTTTTTTTTACGGTTTTTCCCTTGAAAGCTTTATTTAATCGATTCTTTTTACTACCGATTTCTTTAAATTCGTTACTTTTACAATCGATTCTTTTTACAAACGATTTTGTTTTACTCCCGAATTTTCACAATCAATACTTTTTATTATCGATTCATTAAAATGGAATATTTTTTATAGTCGATTCTTGTTTACAATAATTGATTCTTTTTACAAACGATTTTGTTTTACTACCGGTTTTTTACCACCGATTCTTGTTTTCACAATCTTAATTTTTTACAATCAATTCTTTTGTACGATTTATTCTTTTTCCAAACGATTTTGTTTACAATCGATACTTGTTTTCACAATCGATACTATTACTCTCGATTCATTACCATCGATTATTTTAAATAGTCCACTGCGAGGTCGATTTTTTTTACAATTGATTCTTTTACTAGCGATTTTTTTTACAATATATTCATGTCATTACGATCAGTTCTTGTTTTCACAATCAATACTTTTAGTTTCTTACGGTTTTTCCCTTGAAGGCTTAACTTTATCTAATCGATTTCTTTACATTCGTTACTTTTTACTTTCGATGTTTTACAATGAATTCTTTTTACTCTCGATTTTTTTTTAAATTGATACTTGTTTTGCGATTGACTGTACATCTCACAATCGATACTTTTTATTATAAATTCATTAAAATCGAATATTTTTTATAGTCGATTCTGGTTTATAAATGATTTACAAACGATTTTGTTTTACTATCGATTTTTTACCACCGATTCTTGTTTTCACAATCGATATTTTTTAAGTCTAGTTACTTACGGTTTTTCCCTTAAAGTCTTAACCTAACTATCTAACGATTTTTTTACTGATGATTTGTTTACATTCGTTGCTTTTTACAATCAATTCTTTTGTACGATTTATACTTTTTCCAAACGATTTTGTTTACTAACGATTTTTTTACAATCGATTTTATTTTACTATCGTTTTTTTTTTTACAATCGATACTTGTTTCACGATCGACTGTTGTTTTCACAATCGATACTATTTACTTTCGATTCATTACTATCGATTATTTTATATAGTCCACTGCGAGGTCGACTTTTTTTACAATTGATTCTTTTACTAGCGATTTTTTTTACAATATATTCATGTCTTTACGATCAATTCTTGTTTTCACAATCAATACTTGTCGAGTTTAGTTTCTTACGGTTTTTCCCTTGAAGGCTTAACTTTATCTAATCGATTTTTTTACTGTCGATTTCTTTACATTCTTTTTACTCCCGATTTTTTTACAATTGATACTTATTTCGCGATGGACTCTACATTTCACAGTCGATACTTTTTATTATAGATTCATTAAAATCGAATATTTTTTATAGTCGATTCTGGTTTATAATTGAATTTTACAAACGATTTTGTTTTACTATCGATTTTTACCACCGATTCTTGTTTTAACAATCGATACTTTTTAAGTTTAGTTACTTACGGCTTTTCCCATTAAAGGTTAATTTAACTTTATCTAATCGATTTTTTTTACCGTCTATTTGTTTACATTCGTTGCATTTTACAATCGATTCTTTATAATCAATTATTTTTTACAATTAATTTTTTTTAAAAACGTTTTTGTTTTATTAACGATTTTTTTACAAACGATTTTGTTTTAATAACGATTTTTTTTTACATTCAATGCTTTTTACTCTCGATTTGTTTTGCAATGGATACTTGTTTCGCTATCGACTCTTGTTTTCACAATCGATACTTTTTACACTCGATTCATAACAATTTATTATTTTTTATAGTCGATTATTCTCTTCAATTGATTCTTTTTATAGACGATTTCGCATTACTATCGTTTTTTAAAATCGATACTTTTTCTACGTTCGACTCTTATTTTTATAACCGATACTTTTTACTATTAATTCATTTCAATCGACTATTTTATAAAGTCGATTATTTTTTTACAATTAATTCTTTTATTAACGATTTCGTTTTGCAGGCGATTTTTTTAGAACATATTCTTGTCTTTATGATCGATTCTTATTTTCACAATCAATATTTTTTTAGTCTAATTTCTTACGATTTTTCCCTTAAAAGCTTAACTCTAATTGATTATTTTTACTGTCGATTTGTTTGCTTCTTTGTACAATCGATACTTTGACGATCGATTTTTTTGCACATGATTATTAGTTTTTCCAACAATAACTCCGTGAATGGTATTGACACATTAATATATGGATTAGGCATTATTTATATACCATCTGAAATCTTTGAGTGATGGCATCGTTAACTTAGCTTCGATCCACAAATTATAAATATAAATTATGGACAAATCGTACAACTTGTTCAAAATATTTAATTATAACAATGAAGTCTCAAAGTTTCAATTTACATTTCTTACAGGTTTCCGATTTGACCGCCACCAATGAATTCCTGCTGGACCAAAACGCCAATTTACGAGTGAGCGGTAAACGTAACAACGTTCCCGCCGTGACCATAACCAACACCCCGACTCAAGTCAACAGAACCGTCATAGCGAGCGTAGCCACCGTTCCCGTATCATTAGCCACCGTTTCTACTTGCAATCCCGTCTCCGGCAACCACTCTGTCTCGATAGCGGGATGTCCCGCTGTCAGTATGGCTCCAGCGCAGATTCTAGCCAACAGCCAGCAGATTTTAGGTGAGTTTTATGACAGTCAACTTTTGTATCTTGTTGATTAGTCACTAGCTATCAAAGAACATAACGGTGGTGTACATTTCTATCAGGATAACTTACAAACTTTATTTTTCCAGTTACCACGAACCCTACAACGCAACTCGCCTTAGCGAACAGTTCTCAACATCAACTGGCCATCGCGAACAGCTCTCAAGCGCAACTGGCCATTGCTCAGCAGAGTCTTGCCACCAATTTGGCGGCTGCGCAGCAAGCGCAACCACAGCTTACTACGTCTCAGGCGCAGCAACTCGCCTTGGCTACGACCACGCAGCAATTGACGTCGCAAGCGCAGCACATGGCGAATCAGCAAATGGCGTTGGCCAGCGCAGCTGCAGGAGGACCACAATTGACGACTCAAACGCAACAGATCACGTTGGCGAGTAACGCGCAAGCGCAGCAGCTCGCGCTCGCCGCTGGGACCAATCAGCAGTTGACCTCCCAGGCCCAACAGGTAAGCATTGTTGATTACATTTTTAAAAGTCCCAGACCATATTTTCTCTACTTTCTCTCAGGTAAAATATTAATGAATCGTCTAAACTTTGGAAGGATCATATTTAACTATTATTGACTATTTTTGTATCTGTCAAAATGTAAAAGTCGTCAAGATTTCTTATTAATCTCACTAGTTGATACAGCTAATAATTGCTAATTATTTTGAAAATTCTTAGGGTCGGTCTTTTCACCTTCAGATAAAGTTCCAGATAACTAACTGATGGATATATTATCCGAGAGTTACTATCTGTCAGATAATTAATTTTCTGTTTTTTTTTTCAAGTAAATAATATGTATGGTAAGTATCCAGTACTTTTTAACCTTATGTGGTTATGTAGCTACCTGTTTATCCATCAGTGAAGTATTTTATCAGGAATTTCATAACTAAGTTAAGTTATCATTCAGGAGTTAGGTTTATCCAGAAGTGAAAAGATTACTTTTTAAGTTACTTGGGAGATAAAAATTACCTGGCACTTTATCTGAAGGTGAAAAGACCGACCCTTAGATTGTTTTAATGTATTACAGTTCCGAAAACTTCTTTCTATGTTTGTTAAAGCTATCAAAGTCTCTCACCACTCAAAGCTGTCAAATATTATTTCTAATAACTCTGGAATAATTGAAACTTACAAGTGTTTGACATACACCAGGCAGTAACGTTGGTATTTAACACTTATTTAAAGAAAATTAATCATGTTTTAAAATCTCTGACCATATTTTTTCAACTTTATCTTGGGTAACCGTCTAGACTCTGTAAATACGATATTTAACCATTAGTAATTACTTTTTTGACATTTGTCAAACTGTCAAAACATTTACAGATGTCTTAAAGCTTATTAATGTTATTAGCTGAAAAAGCTGGTTGATAATTACTTTGAAACCTTCTATACTATTTTAGAGCTCTGAAAACTTCTTATTATGTTTCGTAAAGCTGTCAAAGGCATTGAAAAGTGTTTTAAAATGTCATTTTATTCGAATATTTCAAAGTTGTCTAACATTCTTTATAATTACCCAGGAATAACTGAAATTTATCAAAATATACTTACAAATGATGAAAGATTATCCATATAACTCAAATAATATGATCTAAATAGCTTTCAAAAACAAATTTTTAAATTTTCCTCTTCACTTATAATTGCGGTTATTTAACAGTGTGTCGATCCTATATTTTCTCGTTTCCGCTCCCGGAAATTCACTGATGAAACAATTGCTGCGTTTGAAAGCTCTTTTTACTCGAAGCCGTCCTTTTAATAATCTGTGGCCTCTCGATGGGATCTGCTCCGTGGTCTTATAATGCAGAACTGGTAAATCGAGTAATATCTATTTACACAGAAATAAATTTTAGAGCATTAGGAGTAAATGTAATTTCAGTGACAATTGACAGAGTAGATGTACTTTTCTGAGATGTACAGACGTCGTTCGTTGTCCCTTGTATTGCAGTTTATTCTTTTTGTGTTTGGTTATTAAAAAAAAATTATTTATAAAAAATGTCAGACAGAAATGTGCATGGTTTATTTTCTAGTGAAAGCAAAAAGCGAAATATACCACAGCTAAAATTTAACTTTACTTTGCAAGTTGCAACAAAAACCACGAGAGAGAATCAAATTTGATTTAAAAGAAAGGTTGAAGTTTGTAATTTTAATGAAAACCGGCAACGGGAAACACAAACAAATCCATAGCCGTTCTTTTATTCCGCTCCGGGAGGTACTTTTCAAACGTGGCAAGAAACAATTAAAGCCCGTTATTGTTACCCTCTTAGAATCATATTCTGCTATCAACTTGACTCCTGCAATTTATGTATCTCCATCTGGGATTACCCGAGGTCTTTTTACCGCCCTATCAAATGGTTGCAGAACAAACTTTTCCGAGTTGTAGGCTTTATAAGTACTAATCATTTTTCTCTGAGGTGAAAAAACATCTTACAGAATGCATTAAATCTAACGGAACACCGTTCTAATGGCTTTAAATTATAAAAATATTTACAAATATCTTTTAAAGCTGTCAAAATTCGACAGTCGAATCCAAAGCGAGCATTTTTAATCTGGTTTTTCTCTTCCAGTTGGCCTTGGCCAGCACGACCCAGCAGCTGACGTCGCAAGCCCAACAACTGGCCCTTGCCAGCACGACCCAGCAGCTCACATCGCAAGCCCAACAACTGGCCTTGGCCAACACGACCCAGCAGCTGACGTCGCAAGCCCAACAACTGGCCTTGGCCAGCACCAACCAACAGCTCAACAATCAAGCCCAGCAACTGACCGTCACGAACGTGCCTCAACAACTCACCTTGGCCAGCACCAATCAGCAGTTGAATGCGCAGCTGAATTTGGCCTCCGAGATTCATAGAAATTCGCAAATGAACGCGATCAGCACGTCGCAAGCGATCGCCATGTCGAATTCCGCGCCTCAATCGATGGTCTCCTATCCTATCATGACTCATAGCATCAATCATGGGATGACGCATTAGCAGACGGGGTTTTGCGGGTACGACGGGAGATTTGCAACAAACCAAGGGGGTCAGTGACTTGTTTTTATTTAGTTTTATAGGTGGTTTTTGCTTGTTGTGAAATTGGAAACGTTAGAGTCATATAGAACTGTCAATTCCCAACTCGTATTGGGTGGACGATTTAGGTGAAGACCGAAGCGACGGAGCTCCGATGTTTTGTTTAAAATTGTATTTTGAAGAATGTAGCGATTGTAGCACATTATCTACAGAAATGGCTAAAGACTGAATTTCGCATCATCTTAGTTACCTAAAGTGTTATTAAAGACATGTTTATAAATTAAGATTTAAGGAATAAGATTTTTTGAAAAAACTTATTTATACATTCGTTCAGTTTTGCTTTTTAAGTTCAATTTTCGTTTATTTTAAGTTTATTTCTAATTTGACGTTTATTTGACAGTAAATTTTCTGCAATGAGTGACAGTGATGCAAATGAACTACCATCTCAATTTTGACAGATAATTAACATATGTCACCGTTTGATATGGACAATCGAATTACTGTCTTAATTATGATAAATTATTATTTTCTTCAGCTTGAAATTGCTGAAGGAACTGTCATATAACTATAAAACTGACAGAAACGGGTATACATTGATATATTTATGATTTTGTATATAAAATGGTGTTTCTGTCTAGTTAAATCTCAGGTGTCCGAAATAATAAGGTGTTAATTTAATTATTATTCAGTTTTGTTCAAATTTGTTTTGAATTTAAGATATAAACAAATAGCTATAAAATATATTTTTACTACAAATGAGTGATCAAACGATTGTTTCTCTAATTGTACTTATTGATATTTCCGGCTAAACAAAATTAAAAATATGTAACATGATAACTGACAAGTTATGTCTTTAGTGTCAATGGTGTATAGTACGCCAAAAATTCTTCCGTAGTTTGTATATATAGAAATATTGAAATAAATGAACTTATTTATTGCATTCTTGTTTGGTTTTGTTTCGTTTTCCTGTTTTAAGAAACCCAATAATGCGTGAAGTTTTACTTTTTTTTTTTTAGTTTAATGCCGTCGTGGAATTATAAACGGTATAATATATTAACGAAAATAGCTTTACCCGTTTTAAAACCATCTTTAATTTATTACATTATGGTATTTAAAATGAATGTCTTCATTTAAGGTACCACTTAAAAGTCAGAATAGCGTATGGACATCAAAATAACCAGCTTACTCGAACACAAAAGAAGGATTTTGACTAGTAACACATACAAGCATGATAAAACTTGTTTTTGACTTAGATAATCTGTTATAACGAGGTTATTTACATAATCGAAGCATCAAAATATATCCCGTATGCTAGCGCTCCCTCGATCATTGTGTATAAATTCTACATACATAAAGTTTTATTTGTTTTTAAATATATTTGGGTAGGTTGCCAAATTTAAATTATTATTGTTATATTCGCTAAAATGGTATATTGTAAATAAATGTGCATAAAAAATAATATAACTCGTATATCTCATTTTTAAAACATATATTCGATTCTTACTTAATTAACTATGGGTACATCTATTCGTGAATAGAGAAATTACGTTCGTTATTCAGTTTCGACAACGTTGGATGGTTCAGTAGAAGACGATAAAATTATCAAAAACATAAATTGGACGCGACGGGGCTTGCTGTCATCTATTGATACTGTCCATTGTCCTGTAAGATAATTTGCACTGGCACTGTTCTGCTAGGTTATCTAAATACAATGGTAAAACTAACACCGTTGACGAAATTTTGGAATGCAGTAAAACTATAAACCTTATTGATTCATCTACTATATCATCTTACCAAGAAATTAAGGCAAGACGTAATGTATATTCAGAAAACATCCTGCGTAGAATAATATTTCAACTCAACTTTTACAATAGAGAGTTGAAGTGTTTCCAGTACGTTAACGCTGAAATAGAGAGTTGAATGAAGCTATGAACGTATACGTGTAAATTGACATCTACGCATGCGCATTTAAATATCCTTCACGTCTACGTACGTACGTAAGCTCACAGACTCTGGCGTATGTACGCAACGCAAACAAAATAACCTATTTTTAATTAGGAAAGAAGGAATCCTAATATTAATTGTCATTATCTGACTTTGCTGTCATGACACGTAAATGTCACGATGCGTTTAACAACTTCAACTCATATTTTGGTCATCAACGTAAACAATATTTTTTGCGTTAAAGTTTACGTTAACGTACTGGAAACATTTCAACTCACTAATATAATGTTTACGTCCAAGTCCAAAATATGAGTTGAAGTTGTTAAACGCATCGTGACATTTACGTGCCGTGACAAATAATAACAATTAATATCAGGATTTCTTCTTTTCTTATTAAAAATAGGTTATTTTGTTGGCGTTGCGTACATACGCCAGAGTCCGTGAGCTCACGTATGTACGTAGACGTGAAGGATATTTAAATGCGCATTCGTAGATGTCAATTTACACGTATACGCTTATATAGCATCACTTCAACTCTCTAATAATAACTATACAACTGATAACATTAACGTATAACATCGTATCATAAAACTGATCTCCGACGTCAGGTCGTCGACTTATATAACTCGCCTCAACCTTTCAGAATCTTCTCGAACAATCCAGATTTTTCTTTGACAATGAATGACATTTCTGGACTATTATATCTTCTTCATTTACTCGTACCTTATGTCTACCGCAGCACGCTACAGGATGCTGCGAAACATTGCTCCCTCCTCTCTAGTTATTCGCCCCGAATAACTTGATTACTGGGACCTGGTTAGAGCTAACGGGAAGGATCTGGATCACGGCATGACGCTAACGTTACAATGTGAACCTTGGATTTACTTCCCGCTGACAGCTGAATGCGGTAGATCAGGTCGTTGATTTTTTTTAAGGACGACGTAGAGGCCTTCCCAGTTCCGTTGCGATTTCTGACAAAATCTTGCTCGATGCTTGGGATTGCACAGCCGTACTGGCTCGCATCCCTCAAAATGTGTCCCTGTGGCACGCCTGTCGATTTTAGCTTCTGCTTTGTCGCTGTTGGCTTTCAGTCGTTCCCGAACGAATCCGTAGACTTTTTCCTGCCATTGCATACATCAAATTTTTTACACCAATCCGCTACATCCCGTCGGCAATTGACCCAATAAAATCTTTCCCGAACTCGTGCCAGTGTTCTTTTAGTACCAAAATGTCCTCCCGAACGGCTACAATGAAGCTCCTCCAACAAACTTCTGACATGGGATTTCGGCAGTACCACTTGGCGGACTACATGTACTCCATCAGGGTTTTCCCACTTCCGGTGCAATAGGCCATCGTGAAGATACACGGAATCCCACTGAGTCTAGTACCCTTTAATAGCTCCACTGTATTTGGCTATCCCTTGGCAAGTAGGTGTAACTTTATTCTTCGAGCCATTCTCGAACAACCTTCAAATCATTGTCTTCTGCCCCTTTCTCAGGCTTTCAAGGGTGATTTTTTCTTCGTCGCCCTCTGGTTTGATAGTGGTTGCCGAAGAGTAACTTTATCAACCGGTTCCTCCCGTTCTCCGAGCCCCTTACTGTACCGACATTCTCGTTCTAAACAGGGTCGCCTGGAGAGAATGTCTGCATTGCTATGGATACGGCCTCTACGATGCTCTACTTTCAGATTATTGCTAAAAAGCCGGCTCAGTATGGGTGATTGGCTTCTTCGGGACGCATAGCTGCTGTCGGTTTTCTTGTTTTAATCTGACAGGTTAGAACGACTGAACCGACAATTCCGGAAGCAGAAGCGGATGAATAAAACGCACCTGATATTTTGCTTGCTGCTGTCAGTGTCAGTGAATATTATTTTTGGAGTCACAGTTTATTGCTAAAGAATCAGTTAGCTCACTCGGACCAGTTGAAAGTTCCAAAATAACATCCACTCCAGGGATACAAATTCAGGATACGCAGAAGACTGCTGTTTTATTATAGGCGGTTGTCATATATTGTATTATCTGAGTTGCGCAGTGTATAAACTGGAACATTGAGATAAAAAGTGCCGACGCAGAGTGAGCGATCTGATTCTTTAGCTATAAACTGTGTCATAGGGTTCAAAATGGCCGCGCCCTATGTTGGGCGTGTCGGACCTCTCTCTTGCCCCGTATAGTAATCAAAGTATGTGATTAAAGGCAATCGTGTATCACTTCTATAATAATAGATGGCGCTTCAGGCTTCAGTAATTTTAAATTTCATTAGGATACTGTGTGATGTTGAGATTCAAACCTCTGTGTGATAACTAATCCGAAAAAGATGTCTGTTTTGCAAAAAAAAAATCCGAACAGGATGATTTTTTCAGGGTAATGTGCACGATTAAAGCCCGTTATTGTTACCCTCTTAAATTCACACTCTGATATCAACGAGACTTCTGGAATTGTATGTATCTCCAACTGAGCCTTTTTGGCGCCGAATCAAAAGGTTGTGGAGCAAACCTATAAATATATAACAGAACTGGCGTCTGAATGTTTCCAAGTCTGAGGCGTCACTGTTAAAAATGGTTGCCTGATGAACTTATGATACAAAAACGTTTGTTTACTAATCTGTTCAAGTTGTTTTTGTATTTATAATTAGTTTAAATAAGGGCACATTTGTGTTTTGAGGGGTTGCTTGTAGTTTGACGACGTAATGTGTAATATTAATAGTTTATCCTTTTTAGTGTCACGTAGAAACTAAAGTTACTGGTTTTTCGAAAAGACATTTTTTGAATTAAAATACTAGAGATAAAAGGTTTGTAATAAAAATAAAATACATTGTAATCGATTAATTTGTGTTTAATATGTTTTAGTGAAGTATTTACATGCCAGTAATGTAAATAGTTGTATCTGATAGAGACAGAGTCTCTTTCTTTTTTGTTCCAACTACAATGGAAGTCGCTAAATTAAATACTGTTCTATTTTAGTTTGTTTTTATAAAACTATATACGAACATTATTTACTAATGAACTCAAATTTGACGATAACA